ATAGGATGCTCGCAACTTCATAAATGCGTTTTGCGCAGCTTAGTAGGCTCTTAGGGATTCCAATTGAAAATGCAGAAGCTGCATTATTATTATTATTATTGATGAGAAAAATAGATAGGATAATATCCAGTTTTAACTTAAGCTAATATTACGTCGCCTGGTTGAAGGGCCCTTAGAGCAAGGGGCAGTGTCGCAACATCTGTAGTCTAAGTTTATCAAGCATTCGTGTGTGTTTGGTTCTGTGTACAAGAAGTCACTGTTTCAATTAGCACGCTACTTGCAATGACAATGGAGTAGCCTTAATCAAATAATACTTATTTGAATTATGCGCTTCGCAGTGACCGTTTTGCGTTTGAATAGAGCCTGTCTTATTACTTACTTTTGTTGGCCACTGAGCTGCGTAAAGCGAATTAGCATTTTTCCCTATCTTTAAAAAATATGTTATCTTGCGGCTCGTTTGAACCTTCGGAACGCCTTGCTTGCCTTAGACGCGTTCCAAGCAGAGTACGAGTAAACGTAAACTTCTCCCAAAACCATTCTTCCAACAGTGCGCCAAAGCTCGCGGCATAGCTGAAAGCGAATTAGTGGAAACAGCCTTCTTAGAGTTTGTTATTTTAAATACTTTAATTACATTAGCTTTTGCGAAGCGTCGATAGTTTATAGCCCGCTTTGGTTGAATTTACGATGCCATTCATTGATGCAGACAAGCAGAAAACAAAAGTTGCTTTTTTCCTCCTATTCATTTTGCGTTTTATTAAAATAGCTTTCCTGCTTTTAAGGAAAGTGAAAAAATGTCAACCCGTCGCAGTAAACGCTTTTAGCCTTTTTCCATGGGCTTTCTTGATTTGGTTTTAAATTGATTGGTAATGCCGAAAAAAGCTTTGTTTACTTTGCTCGGTGAGCGAGTTAAAGCAAAGATTGTCAACGCAGCCATTTACGGTGATGCGTCGAACGATTTTCCAGACTTAGGTCGAAAGGGCTTCAAGGAATCCCAAGTAGGGACGTTTCAAAATAGGTTAGTCGTTACGCGGACGGTAATCAATTTTTTTTGTAAGCATGAATGGGACTGTTTCAACATCTCGTCGAAAAGTGGTTCCCATTTGTTCACTGTGAATTGATTTTTAGCTTCACGGTCAAACATGGCCAATGGACCCGCGGCCGCCGCTGCTGCTGCTGCTGCTGCTGCTACAGGAGCAAAGTTAAGACCAACCGGAATGGTCGACTTTGCATCGGAACTTAACCGAGCTGTCAATGCTCAGCATCAAAAAACGCTGAAACGAACGAATGGTCGTCTTACAACTTCCGGTGCTGCAGGTAAGTAGTTTGTGGTATAGTTTTTTTTTAAATTTATTACCTGAGTGTTTTTGTATTTATTAGAAGCTGCGAGCAGTGACTCCCAAGCGGTGACAAAACGTCCGGTAGTTCCATTAGCAACCAAACCGGTGGTACGTCAACAACAATCTCGGCAAGCAACACCAGATCAGCCTGATCAGCAGCAGCAGCATGCTGTGAAGGTTCGACAGCAGCAGCAGCAGCAGCTGACGGTTGGTTCCAAACCGGCGCCCAATCCAAACAAGCCCAATTTTCGCGTTTCTGTTGATTCGGTGCCGCAGCAGGATTCGACGACGAGACCGGGCCCAGTGTCCGGCGTTTCGGTGAAGGCTCTTCGGGCGAAGTTGCAAAATCCGCCGCAGATGATGCCTCCATCTAGTCATCTTTCACAACATCGACCAAATGGAGCGAGCCACGAAATTCCAGTGAGACATCAATCGTCTTCACCGTCGCTTGTTGCTTTTGGACGACCGTCTGTTGTTGAGCAGACAGACCAAGAAAAGACGGCCGGCTTTTCGTCCGTACCTTTTGCCAAGGCACCGCCGCCGCCCCTTCCGGCCAAACCGCCAAGTCGTAAACCATCGATTGAACATCGAAAGAATGTGTCCGAAAAATTTCGCACTTTGAAACCGCAATCAACGGTGCAAAAGCAGTTCCTTACTGGGCCGACTTCGAAGTACAGGTCGTCTAGTTCCGAAGTAACTTGTCGTAGTTATTTTTTTCTTGTTGACACAAAAAAATTTTTAAATTTAAAGAATTTGCCTGGCATGTCGCCAGAAGCGAACTTAGCCAGCGATGCCGTTGCGAAAGCTTTGATGAACAACAGGAGCGATATTGGCTCAAGAGGAATGCAACGGGTTCAGTCGCATCGGCCTGTTATTTCGCTTCCTGTTGGTCCTAGGCCAACCCCACCGCCGCGACCCGATGTGGCCCCACCACCGCCGCCTGCTGCTGCTAGCAGTGCTCTTCCTCAGAAATTGTTTGGTATTATATTGACATGAGCTATTTTGGGTTGTTGAAATGGACGTCATTATTGTAGGCTCAAAATCGTCAGTTGTAGTGCCTCCTCCACCTCCCAGAGTTGACTCGTTGGGTCACGGTGAGTAGTACATTAAGGATATGTTTATTATTGACATAGTGCTGTTGAAGAGTTGGAAAGAAGGTTCTTTTTCAAAGACGCGCGTTACCTGCCGTCTCCACCGGAGTTCAGGCAGTTGCGACCAATCAAGCGGGTGGCACCGAAACCACCAACTGACGAGCGCATCACGTCTAATTAAACTGTCACTACCATGCATCGTCGTCGTTTCCGCACCTCTGAGATGGAAGGAAGAAAAAAAATTGAGCTCGTTCCATTTTCACAAAGAGGTCAAATGGAAATGAGGCGTCTGAATTCAAATTTAGCAAACTGTTTTCAAGTGCGCCTACTTAAAACGTCGTGTTTTGCCAACCAAATTTTGTCTGTCTTTTTCTAAGCGGCCAACAGTTTGCATAGCGACCAAGTATAATATACCTTGTGCGTGTACATATGTGCGTGTGGCGTGTGCGAGAGCGCTTCTTTTTGCGTGAAGTCCTTTTTCCCTTTAAGCGATGGTTTCTTGCTTACTTCTCCCCATTTTGCGACGCCCCCTTTTTGCTGATGAGTCTTTTCTCTTTTCCTTTTTTCTAGCGTCCTCCCTGTAGGCACTCCATTACGCCTTTGCGCATTTCTTCATGCATTTTTTATGATTCGCCGAAGTATCTGTTTTTTCTCGTTTTATGCATAACTTTCGTCGTTCACCGTCACTGCACTCTGCCCATAAGTGAACTCATCACTGTGGAAGCGTTCAATGGCAGATAAACTCTTTTGACGGTTACAGTGAGCTTACATGTTTGAGAGCTTATATTATAATAGAAAGTAAGCTGCAAATGTCTTCTCTTATTTCACTGAAGTGTTTGGAGCTTTCGAAAAGCAAACGTAAGCAACGACCAGCCGGAAACACCTTCCAGGTTTCACTTCCATTAGAATAACGACTATTCGCGACACGTAAAATTCAGCGGACCGATGAGGCGAAGTAATTACGAGAATTTAGAAATGTGCTCTGATGCTTTCGCACTGTTTCTCAAATGGTAAACCGAATATTATTGAAGTACCCATTAAGTATTTGTGAACTCTAACGGACATAAATGAACTGAAAATACTTTCTAATTGAACAGTTGGAATATTACATCTTCCATAATATGAAAATAATCGAATGTCAGTAACAGTTCGAATTTCAAAATAGTCTGTATAATGGTGCGCAGGTTCGAACTCTTCCGGAAGCGAGCTGTTTGAAATCTCAAACTTGGTTTCGCTATGCAGCTATTCTGTTTTCTTGTTTCAAAAATTCTCCTTTTCGTGAGGGCAAAAACAGAATGCGTGAAGTGATACAATGCAGAGAGCGTTTAATGACTCTCCCAACTGCTTACAGTAAGGCAGGTAGGCCAACGTGCCCACGAAAGACTGTCATACTCATTACTGATATGGAGGTGCTCATTTATAGTTCTATTTATGAAGCTATACACAGAGCTATACGCATTCAGACGGTCAGGACGCTAACAACTATCTTACTTTTAAAAATGTTTCATCAGCTTTCGAACAAAGTGAGGCGTTGAATCTATATCTGTGTGAAACCTGTGCACAAAAACAAAAGCGCATTATTAATTAGGAAACCTTCGCGCCCATTCAACAGTTCATTGATTGATGTTTTCTCTCAAAGCTTACTGTACAAATGAACGCAGTTGAACATCATTTATTTTTAAATCATTTTCGGCTTTCCAGTTAGTTCTACTATAATGTCTGAATCGTCAAACTCGGAGGAATCAGCTAAGGTATTTGCCTGTTTGCTTCTTTTGGGTTTGCGTTGCGTAAGGGTTTGGTTTGACGCTTCATTGCGATCCATTTCTTTGGTATAGTTCAATCCTCTTGGGAGATCTTCTGCTTATTGGAAGTCGTGAAGCTTTAACTTTTTATCCTTCAGTTTCAATACGTTTTCTTTTTGCAACGCATATTGCTCGCAGGTGACCACGTCGGCTAAACGTTCTGGTAAAGGAGACTCGTCGAAAGCGAAGAAAAGCAAAGTAGCTGAGACAAAGAAGGAACCTGAGGAGCTTAAATTCGAGGTGACTTTTATCATTAACCGAATATTTTATTTCCATGCCGGTTTGCCTATAGATTGGCGAGAAACGTTTCGTGACTATTAACGAATACAAAGGGCGAGTAAGGGTTGACATACGCGAATTCTATTCAGCGGCGGACGGCGAAATGAAGCCTGGCCGTAAAGGTAACCATGCGTACACGTGCCCAAAAGTTCTGCACTGCATTCAATTATGTTATTGCTTTGCTTCGTCTTTCCATGAGTGTTCCTTCCTTTATTGTTCGTTTTCAGGCATTTCATTGGACGTTGATCAGTTTCGAGCGCTGGTGAAGTGCATTCCAAAGCTTGAACAGCAACTGAAGAATCGTTGAGCTCGAGCTGATATATATAACTGCAATTCGTTCGTTTTTCGTTTGCCCTTCATTTCATTTGTTAGTTATCCATTTGGATGAGTAGCGTACTGATTGCTTAGTTATCGTTGATCTCGTTGAATAGTAAATCGTTTTCCGTGGGTTTCCGTTAGTGTTCCATAGCGGCAACGCGAGGAAAAATTATTGCTCCAGGTGAGGATCGAACTCACAACCTTCGCATTTCGTTAGCAGATTCAGTACTGCTTATAAGTACGACGCGCTAACCGGTTGCGCCACTGGAGCTTCAGTGGATTTATGAGTGCAGCTTTTTCTAGCTAGCCGGTCTGGGCAGTAACAGATAGATTTTTGTGTCCAGCTCGCTACAGCTGAATCCTTCAAGCTGCAAAAACTTTCTCTTTATTAGAACAAACGGAACTTTCAATCGAGTACCCTTAGCTAATTCTTGCTGGCACAGATTTCGTGTCATAGGCTGCTTATGCTCCGATGAAACCGTTTAATAGTTGGCATAACTATTAAATGGTTTCATCAAAGCATTTTCGAACTTCGATTTTCAGTTTCAAAACCAACTGTTGCAGAATATATGAGCTCAGGTGAGCAGGGACTCGCGAGTAAACTCGCGTCTTCAAACTTTCATCAATGCTCATGTGAGAACATTCGAACAAGCTATGCAAGTGAAATTATTCATGAAAAGTATGGATCGTTGGAGGCAGGACAGATTATCGTACCGCACTTGAAGGTTGCTATCTCGTTAACTCTTGCTTTAAGTTTTCATACCTCGTGGCAAACGTTTTGGCCCTGGGAAGATTTTCAACCAGATATCAGAGATACATTATTTAACATTCAACAACGCCTTATTCTACGTCAGGCAAAAAATAAAAATGTCCTACATTGTCCAAAAGATCTGTCCTACATTAACGCACGCAGCAGAGTGGCGCAGAGGAAGCGTGCTGGGCCCATAACCCAGAGGTCCGTGGATCGAAACCACGCTCTGCTAATTTTTTAAAATTTTCCTGTCCTCAAGAAAGCTTTCTTTTGTGTCCGTAATGTCCAAGGACTTCTTTCCCAGGCAGTTCTTGGCAAGATTTACACGATTGATAATTTCAAATTAAGGCTGAGACGTATTCTTTCTTACGTTACGGGGATAGCAAATTATGCTTCTGATGTTTGCTGCCTGCCGCCGCCGCCGCAACCGAACTGCAAAATATTACACTGAATTTAAGAATCTGGCAGCGAATGCGCGCTTTAGACACCCTGCTCATACTAGCTCAATTTTATTCAACATATGACCGACCGTCACGTCTAACAGTCAAGTCACTCATCGCCTGTGGTTCCGCAAACAGCAGAGAAGCAATAAACATATGATTCATGCGTTTGGCGTGAAATAAACTTCTCTCTCCTCCACCAACCCAAACTTTCTTGGTACAGTATGATACCAAGAAAGTTTGGGTTGGTGGAGGAGAGAAGTTTATTTCACGCCAAACGCATGAATCATATGTTTATTGCTTTTCTGCTAGCAGCGAAGATTCGTAGGTTTTATTTTCAGCGATTATGAAAATGTTGAAAACCTAGCTTTTAATTACGGTCGTAAAAAGTAGCCAACCTTTTTATTGCATAAAAGTTACAAAATTTTTTATTGGTTACTTACAGGGTGACAGGAACAACTAGAGCAGAGCTCTGGCAAACCTAAATTCTTCGTCAAGTCAACGTCAGCAGAGTGGCGCAGAGGAAGCGTGCTGGGCCCATAACCCAGAGGTCCGTGGATCGAAACCACGCTCTGCTAGGTTATAATTGTTCGCTGATCTTGTGATGAAGTTCTACAGGTTCTTCCTTCATAAAATCTTTTTCAACCATGCAAAAATGTCAACAAAAGCAGTACTTCGCAATGTAACTGCGATGGAACAAGTTATTACGCACTGCGTGTTCCTATAGCTTCTAACATTCTCATGCTTCCTTGGGGTGAAGCTACCCTGCAAGCAGCCATTCAATATGATGCCTAATGGATTTACACAACGTCGTTACTGCAGCTCAGCAGTAAGTTACAATTATGTTGAAGTCGCTGAGACAATTCATGCAAACAGAGCAATAATGCCGCATCAATTAATTCAGCTTTTCAGGAAAGGTTCCGTCACAGCACCCAATGCTACCTGGTAACATTGCACCCATGATACAACTACTGGCTATTGTTTCCCAGCCTCGCAAGAAACAGTAATCGACGGAAACTGAATGCAGGTACGCTTCAAGGGAAAATGCCGAATAGCCTGTTCTGCCTTTACTAGCAAGCTTGTCGGCGGTCCTATTCTTGCCCCACTTACCCCTAAACCTAAAAACAACTTTATATTTCGGTTCAGGCTTAGACAAGGGCAGAAGAACATGGACAGCACTGGAAACTCATCATGGCCCGCCTTCCCCTACTGTAGGTTGGTTCGCCATCCTGTCCTGCCCTTAACCAAACCTAAACCCAAACATAAGGATTGTATTTTGGCTTTAGCTTAGGAGAGGGCAGAACAGGATGAACGACGTGCTTGCCAATGAAGGCAGAACAGGACGATCATCATTTCTCTAGAAATGTACCTGCATTCCATTAATTCCTTCGATTGATGTATGGCAGCAGGCCTATGCTAAACACGGGCAGAACCTTCTTCTGAAACCTAAGCCAGTTTCCTCAAATTCTCCTGATTCATCAATCAAACTCATGAAAATTGTAAGTCATTTCAAGATTGATTTCCTTTATTTTTCATCAAATTGGTACAATGGTCAAGACGGTAACACTGATAAGCACAAGTCACGAAACGTAACAGCAGAAAGCAGCGGGATTTTTATGAATCAATGCCATTCAAATGGGGGACGGTCGTGCAGCTATAGGGCAACAGCCATTTGGACAGTAACCAAACTGATCAGTCAGCGTAGCATTAGCAAATCAGAGTAAACTGACGTATACTCATACAGAACGATTTCTGCGCAGCTTCCAAGCGCTCCTTCAAAGCATTTAGTATCCACTGATAATCGTTTGCATTTAGAGAAGCTGTGGTTGTTTTAGAATATCGTTCTCAAAGGTATCTCTGTAATTAACTTTTCCATTCTCTCCCACGTGTAATTATATATCCTTTTCTCACCGAAGGGATTTCAGGTGGCATTTGCTTTTCTCGTCAGCCACTTTGCAATAACGTGAAGAACAAGCGCACTGAATAACCTTTATCATTCTTCTTCCACTTTCAAGCACTGCTTCAATCCATCCTTCTTCTAGCACCTATTCATATCTTCGAAGACAGGGTATGTAGATTTTCATTTTTGTGATCACGGTGTATCCGTACGTTGAGGCAACAAAGTCAATAGTGGCTGCATGAAGAAGCGGCAAGTATACTTATCGCTAGCAACAAAGTGAGCCGCTATGTTTGCCACAGAATATCATATTCTTGCGTCTCCGAAATCACTGCGGAGGCAACAAAGTCAATTGTGGCTGCACGAAGAAGCGGCTAGCATACCTATCGCTAGCAACAAACTGAGCCGCTATGTTTGCCTCGGAATATCATTCTTGCGTCTCCGAAATCACTGCCAGCTTTCTTTCTGGATAGTCATCATATATCTTTACCCCCAAGGGGATTTCAAGCGGCACCTGCATCAATGTCACTGTCCATATCCTTCAAGCGCCTTGGTGCATCACCTGAGTACAATAAAGTCAACCGGTTAAAGCGCATACATGTTCATTATGTTAATCAGTTCTATGGCCGCTTCAACTCAATTCCATCTCCAATTATATCTTTATTTGCAGCTCCAAGGACCGGATATCATCATTCTGTGTCTTCTAGCCCAGCTGAGCAGCCCAGGCAGGTAACGGACAAATATGGGTGAATTTCTGCAGATGCATTTCTTCACATATCATAAAATACAACGCTGCTGACACGCGCGCTGCCCGGTTCTCTCTTGCACTTTAACTTTCATCCTACTGATGCACTAGCAGGCGGTCCCTCCGCTTAGAAGTCCTGCAGTGACGACCAGAAAAGCGTAACGTGTGGAGCACTGCCGTACTGGCGCTGAGCCGCCTCACAATCGCCTTCGCAACAGCACACTGAGCTTCAGCAGTCCACAACGAACTAACGTAGTCATTCGTACCTGAGCATCATTCACACCTGCGCATCATTTACAGCTGTGCAACAGTTCAGCTCTTAAATTGTAAAATATGAATGGGCAGCGTCTGCTCTACTGTCTTTTGTTACATTATGCAACATTCATTAATGGAAGAATTAATATTTCATTCAGCAGACATTTCCAACTCTGCATGCCCTTTAGGCGTTTTCGGCGCTGCACAATAGTCATTCGCTTAAAAAGAATTACAATAAACATTTCATTAACCATGTATTTTTGGCATGTCTATTTTGCCATTTTATTCAGTAACTTGGAAGTCATAACGTCTTTTAAGAGTGTAAATAATTTCAATAATTCGTTTTTGTACAATTTTTTGAGATGCCGTAAAGCCAAAATGGGCACAGACGCATTTTCCTTGCCTTGTCTTCGCCGAAAAGAAAATGCTACAGTGATAATAAGGATGTTTAGGTAGCGAATCCTACCTAAATATCTTTAGTAGCACTGTAGCAACCTCATTTTGCTAAAGGCGAGGTGAGAACAGGCCAAAAAGCCATGATCTGTGCTTTTTTGTATGGACAAGCGAACTTTTAGCTGACGTTTGAACTAATAGGTGCATGGGATACATTTGACTAAAGAAATTTGCGCAAGCTAGGCAACGGTTAAGTTTTCTGCATCTACTCGTTCTTCCCATTCAGAAAACCATCCTCAGCAGCACCCAATTATGCTTGATAACGTCTTACACGTGTCAGAACTGACTTGCTTTATTTTCATCAAATGCGTGTACGGGTGAGGACAACAACGATTATAAGCGCAAATCAAGAAACGCGAAGGAAGCAACTACGTTTCTGTGAATCAAAGTCACCTAAATGGGGGGCGCAGCGATAGGACAACAGCATGTTCGACGAAACAAGCAGAGTAGGCCATTCACTATTACCAAACCACAATAAAGTGAGCTGCACGTGCGCTGTATGATCTTTGTCGTCTCCTCCCTTTTCGGCCAATGGTTCAAAGCATTTAGTATCCACTGATATCGCTTCCTCATAGAGAAGCTGTGGTTGCTTTAGAATATCATCCTTAAAGCTCTAACATGACGGCTTCATTAAATATCCTTTTCTCCGACGATATCTTGGGTGGGCACCAGCTTTGGCACATCATGGCAGTTGTCCGGTGCATATCATAAAGGCAGAAGTTTAAACTGC